CCCCCCCCCCGCCCGCAGTGCGATCGCCCGCACCAGAAAGCGTGGCACATCAGTGCTTGCGTTCCGGTCCAGTGCCATCTGAAAAAATGCAGCAAGCACTACACTGCCAGGATGCTGCTCCTTGATGTTTAAATTTCCTGCAGAATCAGCCGGTCTCCTGAGCACTGGCCCTGATATCCTGTGTTAGGGGGGCTCCTTTCCCTTGCAAGGTCCCATGGAGCCACTCTTCTTCAGCCTGCACTTCCCTCTTCCCTGCACCCCCCTCCCTCTTTTCTCCTTCCTCCCTTCTCCCAGCTAGTAGATGGACACCTGCTTGAGACTGCTCTGTCCCTTGTGATCTTGCACTGGACAGGAGGTTCAGGGAAGCAGAGCTTAGAGAGTTGGAGCCAGCACCAGCAGCTTGGAAACATGAGGACTGTGAGTGTTTGGGCAAAGATTTAAAGAAATACTGTGCTGGGCAAATTTGTTTCTTCCGGATTCATTATTGAAAAAAGTTTGAGCATTTATTAGGACTTTAAAGTGACATTAAACCCTCAGATTGTTTAACATAAAACAATACTGTAATGTGCGCCTTACTGTAATCCATGGTTGTTTCCCTTCTCTTTGCTGCTCTTTCTTTTAAATCCTCATGTCTTCTCATGCTGGGGGAGAACTTCCCTTTGCAGCTGAGGGCCTCTTCCTGTAGTGCTGGCTCAGGTTGCGAACCTACACACAGACACCATGTATCCCTTTCAGAGACAAGGCAGTCTGCTGCAAAACAGAAGTTCTCCCCCAGCATGAGAACAGATACAGATTTAAAAGGAAGAGCAGCAAAGAGAAGGGAAACAACCATGGATTACAGTAAGGCGCACATTACAGTATTGTTTTATGTTATAAAATCTGAGGGTTTAATGTCACTTTAATAAAGAGGGAAGTCATATTTACAAAGTGGACTGAGTAAAGAATACAATGTGTATGGGATCTGTGAAGGGAGCAAATGTGGATGCATAAATGAAGCTGGAATATATGCATGGGAGGAAATAGGGAATGCCTGATGCGTCCACTGCATCCAGCACCTAAACAGTCCCCCTCCCAGAGACAAGCAGCCTTCGTCTGTGTGTGGATGACGTCATGTAAAAGCTGTAGCCCCGCCCAGGGATGTGCCGGGTAGGCGTGGTTATGCCCGCAGAGGGGTCTGTGCTGTTTTCTTTGTGCAGGGATCAGCAGTCCTGGGATGGACACAGACACCTCCTGATCTGCCTCCTGTCTGGACTCCCCCATGTGGTAGCGGA